AATTGCATGAGGTACATTTTTTGAATTAATGCATTTTCTTAAAATAACAGGCCTCCAAGAAGATACTCCTATTTCAGTATGATATGATTCCCCTTTTCTGTAAATGCAGCCATGACTGTCTCACTCACTCTGCCTTCCCTTTTTCTAATTAACAGCTATCACCTCGTTCAATATCCTCACCACTTCTCTTTCAACCACAGTCTCCATTAAGTTAGGAAAGTGCGCTACAACTTCATCATCAACATTTGCTTTCCCTTTTGCAATGTATGTAGAGTTGCGATAACGATAAAATCACAGAGCTACAGGTTAAAACTACAACAAGACTTTTTAACGTCCAGTTCAGGTTTGTGTTTTTGTAACAACTCTGGGGCCACGAGGCACGACAGTTCGTGTGACTAGCTGATTACATGACTATAGTAACGCGTGTCACGCCAAAATGTACAGTATGAAAAATAAGTGAAGACCTTTCTCCAGATTCTAAAAGGATTTTCAGGTTATCAATTATCTTCTATGGTATTGTTTCTCTGAAGGGAGATAGAAACGAGAAGAACAGTTCGGACCAGAAACTATGAATATTGTGAGCATAAATCAAGAAAGACCTCCGTTTTTATCAAATTAAGCTTTGACTCTCTTTAGAGTCAAGGCTTAATTCTCTTTAGAGAATGATTTTCAAACTTTGACGGGTGGAAGGTACCGTAGTTTGGGTGATAAGAAGGCAAGCTCTTTTTCTGCAATGGTAGGCATTAAAACAGTTGACAGGGTTCTCAGTAGAACTTTATACAATCGTTGCTGTGCTGCTTTCATGCATAAAACTAAACTACAAGGCCAAACGCTGCATCCCACATATTTATGAGTACCCTATTCCACAAGAGAAAGATGATTCAAGAATACATTGTCTAATTGACATTCAACCAATGATTAAATGGCAACAAATAACTCACTCAGTCACCCATTTGACAACATATGTGGCTTCCCCTCCTATCGGACGCAGTAGCCACAAAAACCTGATAAAAAGCAAATTTTCTTTAATAAAGAAAATACTCGATGCTTGCATTTTCTTTTTAAACAAGAATGAAGTCATGTTAGGAAAAATTGGTGTCAAACAAGCAGATTGAACGATTTACAGGGTAGTTGTCTAGATAAGCAGCCCTGCCTTTGTTCTTGTGTATTTAAGGCAAATGAGTCAAACTGTGCCGACAATTGATAACCCTGGATCCCTGATGCGCTTATGGAGGGCACTGTGGAAACTGTGTTGCTGCGTCAGTGGGGGCATAACAAGATAATTTGGTTTCATAGGCTGAGTTAATAGTTTGAACTGGCCACCATAAAGAGGTTCTAAAGCTGACTTTTCAAGCGTTAGCCATTCTTCAGAACGAATCGACAACACACGTCTAATTAACTTGGCTTCGGAAGGAGCATCATCAAAGTAAGATTTTATCTAATATTTTTATCGTAATGCCCACACGATCCTATCCACAGGAGGATTCAGCTGTCCATTGGTTTTCAGTCTCTCAGCATTGGGACTTCGGTTAGGAGCACTTCTCCATCGGCCATATTGATATTTCCCTCTTCGTTTTTCACCAAGAAGTTTTTTTTTTATGACTGTGTTTTCATCCATTGCCTTTCCAGAACTATTGTTATCTCGTAAAATAATTTAAAATTCAGACTCAAGAGGCTAAAGATTTGACCTGAGAAGATTTCACTAGAGTTTTGCATAGCTAGGGAGCTAGAAACTAGCTAGAAGCTGAGAAACGTTTCATTTAACTATGGACGAAGTTACTAAGCTTCTTAGAGAAGCAGAGGCTAACTGCTGGAGACAAGAATTGAACAACACAGAAAGCAGCAAAGACTTCTGGAAGCTTGTAGCAAGGATTAGCCCCTTGCTGATGATCAGGGCCACATGGTTCTTGACGATAAAAATAAGGCTGAGACCATGAACGACTATTATGCGGCAGTAGGACCAAACCTGGCCCTCGCAGTTAAACCCAATACCAAATTGTCGGGACGTAGAACATATCTACAGAATCACTCCCACCCTCTCCGGAGTTAGTCCGAACAAAACAGACCTCGTTAGACATATCACGTCTATCAACCCAAAAAAAGCCTGTGGCTCAGACTAGATTGCCCCACGAGACCTGCACATCATTAGTAAGGCCTCTGCAGTGCAGTCCACTATCTGATAGTGCAGTCCACTATCCCATCCCTGTGGAAAGTACCTAGAATGCTTACCAAACACAAGAAGGGAAACAAATCAGACAGAGGAAATTACAGGCCTCTCCAAATGCTGAGTCTACCAAGCAAATTTCTAGAGGGACTAGTGTTTCAGGGTCTAGACGGCTTCATCATAGACATCGGGCAACTGAATGACAAACAGTGGGGTTTTCGACAAGGCAGATCAACTGGGGAACTATTGATCTACCTGACCGAAACCTGGAAAACAGCTCGACAACAGAAAGGTCGTCGGTGTCGTCCACATTGACTTCCAAAAAGCATTCCACACATTTCCCCACGATATAGCACTGAAGCCCACAGTTCTCTGTTGATCTCAGTACCTTGACAACCTTTAGTTTGAATTCTTTTTCATTTCTTCCCGTTGTTGTTAAATTGCAGCGTTAGCAAAATTTGGATTTATTTGTATGACATTTTCGTGCAAAATTTGACCATCAATTAATTGTTTCATGTATCTTACCATCGATTTTTTTTAATGACAAATTTGAATATTTTTCTTTTCATGGCAACTGCAAATATTTGAAACGCAAAATTATCGTCAAACACAATGCCAATTTTCCAGAAATTCACTAAGAAAATAAGAATGAATTTGACTACACTTCCGACATTTGCTACAAGTTTAAGTGCAAATACTGAGTAAAGCGAAGAAATAAGGAGGAGCTAAGCTGACAATTTGATCTACATTTTAAATGCGTTTCATTATTCAACGGTTTGCAAATTTATCTACCACTGAAACTGAAAATTAAAGTTCAATAATCAAAGAACGATAACGAATAACTTGGACTGCATTTCAGACGCGAGACAAAAATCTGTTCTCTAAACCACTGATTCAAAAAAAAACGTGACGTTAGCTAAAGAATACGATTGAAACTTAAAGCGTAAAGGTGAATTTACCTTGCTTCATTTTGATTTATCTTCACTGAGATAGACTTTCCTTTTGCAGTTGTAGACACTCGTCAGGATGATGATGTACACAGACAGTCCGTGCTGTAAGTGGCCGTAAGTGCCCTAAGATACCTTTGTGTCGAAAGGACGTGGTCGTATTTTTTCGCACTACTTGCATTTTATTTACCTCCAGAATTAAGGCTTCAGTAAAATTTATTTCATAATTGCCGCTTTCTGGGGAAACTCCGGTCTGAAAGTCAAACCCATCATCAACTGAAACTAGCTTCCTTCTTCAATTTTCATGATCAGACTAATTGACTCGCTGAACGTATTGGTTATACTTTTTTTGTCTTCACTGAGCTAAAAACTATTTTCAAATTTCACAATAGATTCTTCAATTGCTATCTTATAGACCGATTCGAAAAATGGCGGCGAGCTCGGTCCGCGTGCATAGACTGGTGACGAAAAACGTGATGTCGAGGTTAGTCAGTATTCGCTCAGGTTAAGTCCTTTTCCTTAGGGTTAAAAATATGGATTCCACGGTTGTTCTAAGAGAATATGTTATTTCCGGGGCTTCTCTGGCTGGTAGAATACTCTCTCAGCTTAAGATGGAGGAACTTAGATTCTGTTTTCAGTGCCGTGTAGATTCGTGCAAGGGACTTAAAACTTGAAACGAAGGCACAAGTCGTGAAAAGGTGAGAGACCTTATTCGGCTGTTTCGGTATAGTTAAAATACTCTGAATAAATTGTATTTGTGATTCTTTGCTTTATTTAATCCCTCTTCTTAATCCAGATATTCGTTTTACTCTAGGGTCGAAGAATATATAAGTTCGGGCCATGACAGGAATATAGTCGATCTGGACAAAATTGAAGTATACAACAGTGATATCGCGATGAATTCTCTACTACTGCTGTGAAATCTCCTTTAGATGGATGGTAAACGAAGATATCAAGGCTACCTATGTTTAGTCGAGCTGAAATCCCCCTGCACATCTCGAAATCGGGTAAATCTTTCGATGCCAAGTCAAGATACACAGTTCATGGCAACAAATACGAGCCAATAGCATTGTTGGAGAAGTACGTGTTTCCTATATTAGGCAACCATTAAAGTATTCAAGTCTGGTTTCATAGTTTGTTTAGAGGTGCCTTTCTTGGGAGCTTCACCTGATGGTTTGGTCATTGACAATAAATGCACTAAACAATGTGGTCTAGTGGAGATAAAGTGCCCTGCATCTAAGTTCTCAGTGTCTCCATTAGGTGCATGCTCAGATCCAGGATTCTGTTTATTTAGAAGAAGTAGATGGAAAGCCCACACTTCGAAGAATCACCATTATTATGCACAGGTATTACATCATTGTTTATCTATAATTTATCAAACCTTTTCTTAATATTGATTATAGATCTAACACCTAATTGCAAAGACAATCTCAAATGAAAAATAAACGTTGCAGAAATAACATTTACAATCTAAAATAAGAAGTGATTAATAGACCAAAATAAGCCACCCAGGCTGAAGAATTACTATTTGCAAATGTTACCCTTGTATGTTTATTTCTTTCTTTATTTATTTTGTTAATAAAAGCATTCTCGCAATTAAGTGTATGTAAATAATTTTATATATTTTACACTTCAATAGGTATGTGAATGAATATTTAATTAACTCTTTTAATGTACAGGTTCAAGGTCAATTAGGAGTTACAGAATTAACTTGGTGTGACTTTATAGTCTATACAAGTGCTGGGATGAGCATAGAAAGAATTACTAAAGACAATCAGTATTGGGAAATTATGAAAAATAAGTTGAAGTCTTTTATCTCAATCATTTTCTCAGCAAAGCTGCTACCAAATTCAATATGAATGACTGAGATGCTACTAAATTAGATCATCTCAATCTAGCTTGACTCGACATAGGTCCTGAAGCAACCGTTTGGCCGGTAACACGAAGGGTGCGGCGAGGTCGAGCGGGTCGCAAACAGAACCGACAATCGAAATAATTCCTTGCCGTGTGGGCGGTTTAAGCTTAATATCCGCTTTGAATCCAAAGGTGTCTGTCTCCACGCACCATTTAAAACCGAGAGCTCTCTCGACTGGCAGGTCATCCTTACTAAGGTCAAGACTTTTCACTTCTTTAGCGCACTCGGCTTCGGGGATTGTTTCGAGAACCCTGCGACTAGTGCTGATCCACTTTGCCAGCCTAAACCCGCCTTTGGAGAGTAGTAGCCGTAGGTCTCTCGCGTACTGTGAAGCCTCTTTGACTGAAGGCAGGGCCGTGAGACAATCATCTACGTAAAATTTGTTTTTAACCATGCTCAGAACTGCCTCTGGGAAATATTGGCTATTGTCTTCAGCTGTCTTGCGCAAGGCAAAGTTCGAACATGATGGAGACGAGGCTGCACCGAACAGGTGTACAACCATTTGGTACTCCTCGAGGCTACTCTCCAAGTTGCCATCGGGCCACCAGAGGAAGCGAAGATAGGAACAGTTCGCCTCAGATACCCTGATTTGGTAAAACATCGATTCGATGTCCGCCATGAGCGCGTTCCTCTCCTATCGAATCTCGTTAGGACTCAAAATAGATTGTTCGTCAAATCCGGGCCCTTGAGCAGCAGGTCGTTGAGAGACGTGCCTTGATATTTAGCCGAGCAGTCGAAGACAACGCGTATTTTGACGGGCTTGTGCTGGTGGTAAACTCCATGATGCGGAATGTACCATTTCATGCAACTGGGGTCCTGGAGATCCGCTGCAACCTATCGAGCTTAGCCCTTGCCAATAATATCTGCCATGAATCACTTGTAGTCGTTGTACAAGTCCTTGTTACGCTGAAGTTTCCTCGTTAGCGAGTGAGCGTGTTGTTTGACCTGCGGTTTGTTGTTCGGGGCTGGTGCTATGTGATCTTTCAAAGGTAGCGCCATTTCATAGTGACCATCTCTCAAGACTATGGTACGCTCCAAACCGCTGAGGAAACGATGCTGTTCTTGTGACATTTCAGGTTTGTCGTCAGCGCTGGATTCACTGAAACCACTGTCGTAAAAATTCTTCACCATCTGATGAAATTCAGGGTAAGCCTTGATAAGGAAACTGGCAGCGCGTGAACCCTTGCGAAAACGCCCTAAAGGACCGTTAACCACCCATCCCATACTTTTTCGGGAAGCATAGGGACCGCCGTTTTGACTGTGCTTCACTTTCAAAAGATCAAAGACTGTAGGAACATCACAGGCTACGAGGAGACCTATGTCGGCATCAACTTCGGGTAGGCATACTCCACATAAGTGTGGCCACTGGTCAGTGTCACCCTGAGTGGGTATGTCCTCTTTTAAAACGGGTATTTCTGGTCTCGTATAAAGTGCTGGCACCTCGATAAACACATTTTCGTCCAAATCCGAGATGACAAGACCTTTCACAACGAAGCTGTCAATAAGACTGTCTTTCTTTTCCAAAGTTGTTAGGGAAATCTGAGTTCGAGTACCATTGACCCCTAGCTGTCTCATCAAAGATTCTGTGCAAAATTAGGAGGAGCTACCGCTGTCCAAAAATGCGTAGATAATCACAGGGGGACCCGTGGATTTAAACCAAACTTTGACTGGAACCACAGCCATGCCTATTCTCGAGCGTATGAAGAATTGTTGGATGTTTCCTGGTGCAGTTGGCAACCGTACATGTTTTCTTTTTCGGGCATTCCTTCAACATATGATTGGAGGACAAACAACCCAAACATCTTTCATTTTCTGTGGTTGTGCTAGCAACTTTCTTACATGCGTCTTCCTAAGCAAATAAAGTAGCAGCTAGGTGATTGCATCGTCCATCATTTCCTTAGGGGCATGGGCAGACAGCTTGTTTAACTTGTGAACTTGCATTTATGATCATTTTGACAGTGTACATGTTTTTTTTCTTGTCAGCTTCCTTGTCATAAGATGACTTTACTTGGTCTTTGACGTAAAACAGTTCACCCTCCTGTTTAGTATAAATTGCTTCCACTTTTCCTGATTTATAAAAATTGTATCCCTTGACGATTGGTTTTTCAACTGATAATTGTTTTTTAAACTTCACATCGTCGATCAAAACTTCCAAATTTGGGGATAGCCAACATTCAGCTTCGAGTTGATTCCTACAACAAATTCCTTGCTGGGAAAGTCAATAAGAGTTGTCTCTTGCTCCTCTTGTGATCCAAGTTTTTTGCGCTTGTTTCGAATATTTATGCCACCATCAGGATCGATGAGGTTTTTGGAATCCAAACCAGAGCATATGAAATCCTTTACTCTGAAAATGAAAGAGAGTTTTGTACTAGAATTCACTACATTTTCGGCATATATAGTAGTTCGAAAAAATGCTGACCTTTTCATCAATTCGTTCCTTTTACCCGAAACTTTCGCTCCTCTGCAGGTCAACCAACGTTTTAATATTGCCAGAGTGCAATTTTCAGGGGGCTTCGGGAGCTCTGCTCTAGGAATATCTTGTTCAGTAAGCGTCATTGTGTCACCATCGCTGTCCTTCTTCGCCGCCATCTTGAAACGCGTCCCCTAAAGTCGCCCCAGCGTGCCTTGCGCCTAATGACTCGACTTATTCCCCGCTCAACGTGAAAATGGCGAATTGTTGCTGAGCCTAGTTTAGCTTTGTACTTGAGCTATTACTTTTGCAGTAGTGATACACGAAAAAGGCACCTAGCTGTCTTCAGCTAATCAAGAGTGTATTTCATGTATATCAGTATTGTGATGAATTAACCAAAATCAAACAAGTAACTAGAAAGGAGTTACAGTCTACCAAATAAAGGCCTAATACACTTGTATTGCTACCAAGTTTAAATATCAGTGCTTATCTGAAGCATTATGAAGAGAATTTAGAAGTTACTTACAGGAAGTCTTCAAATGCTAAGGTCTGAATAATTCTGGGTATTACTTGGAAAACATACTACTTATCATATTTCGGTTATAACATTAAACTACTAGGCTCCTATTCTTATTTTAATACAACTGAAACCACTTTGTTACTGAATTTCAACATATTACTTCCTCAAAGTTTGCAGTCATTCACAACAGACATTTAGTACCAAGATTTTTATGTTAACGACAAACTGCAGTTTCAGGTCAGTTGTTAGAGTTTTGTGAATCGGTTTAGCTATGTAAACACGAAAGAATAATTTCATTTGAAAAGACCGTCATATCAATTTTCTAGTCAACATCAGTGTTTGATTTTCAAATGGCAAAAAAAGTCCTATTTTCACTCATTGGCTAAAAATGGTATTTAAGCAAATACTAATAAGACTGGTTAAACTATTTTCCTACTGAGCATATGGTATGAACACAAAATCAGGATAAAAAACGTTCCGGTAAAAGACTTACGTGAAACGTGACAGCACCACTAATTCACGTGAATTTTTAGCGGTTAATAAATTGGGTAAACCAAAACAGTACTTCATTTCACTTTTTGTATCGTCCAACGACTTGTTTCAATGTTGGTGAATAAAAGACTCCTTGCAGTATTCCGCACTTAGAACACAAGCCGACTGTAGGAAAGCCGGCGTGTGGAATCTAAGCAACAAAAATGAACGAATAACTAAATAAAAAACAATCTTCGACAACGTGTTGCACCCATGTATACAAATAGGTCGCTCTCTGAAGTTTTGAAACTTACGTATCCTCGACGATAGTAAACCAAGTGACAAGCGCTCTGTCCACCGTGACAAATCCCGGAAGAAATATCTAGGATCAGGACATAGTGTTTTTAAAAATTCGTGTAAGCCACAGAAAAATGGTATCGAACAGTTTTCCTTAAATGTTTCCTAACAATATCTGCTTAAAAAATACAGTAAAAGAGATATATCACCGTTCTTGTGTAAGAGGTATGGTGGGCCAAATTTACCCCATTCCTACCTGTAGTAGCACTAATCACAGGCGTCATTTCATCGGTTCACGGTACATTTTGCAGTAGCGTTTTACCCGATATTCCTCGCCTCATGCTTCTGATTGGTTCGGGACATCGTCGCTCGTTCAACGCTTGTTCACGATTTATTCGGATCGCTTGGAATGTTACACGGAACTAGCACGTAGTCACACTGTTTCCCGGTGCTGCATATTAATTGTTTACTTTACCTTTAACCCTCAAAGGTCAGCCAGCACCAGCATTTGGACGGGAAATGAATACGTTCCCATTCTATGGAATTTTGGGTTTTCGTATCAGGCGGATGCACGTTTGCCTAATCCAAGTGTTGTAAACTATGCTTCGATGGGCGTTGTCATATCAAGTTACATACTTGAGCTCATATTTCTGTACTCACGCCGACGGCATCAAACACTCGGCTCACAGTTCGAGCTACACAGCATAAATTTATCGTTTCTCAGTTGCGAATAGAAATAAGAAATGGAACTAATATAATACCCCCTGAAACTCGGCACTACATTTAAACAAGCCCACGTTAACCTTTCTGAATTTATTGTGAATTGCCCAGCGGTAATATTCTCTTTCTTCTGTTCTAGTATAAATATAACAGTTAGTCTAAGTGTACTTCTTTGCTTCTTAACCCATTTTATATTTCCGAATGTTTCAGGCCTTTAAGGTGATTTCAGAGGCACGATCAATGGACAAGGAAAAGTCGTTAGCCCTTCCGAACTATTACGCTGAAGTAGAGAGGGAAATACGGGGCCTGGACGCTACACGCGAGGGCAATGTCCTTTCAAAACTGGAGACAAGAATGAAAAGTATTGAAGACAGGGATTATGTTGTTCCCTTAGCAGGTGAATATCTCAAGTATGATAGCTTACCCAAACCACTGTGGTTCTTTGATCAAATAGTCCTCAAGTCGGTTTCATGTAGTTAAGGTATTTCTTTAAAACCGAATGGAGATTTTCGAAGAACTCGAACTCAAGTCAACGGGCAGAAGACTTTATGGCAATAGTATTCTACTAATGGTAAAATTTCAACTAATTTTGATTGCGTAAGAAAGCTTCTTAAGAGCGAGAAAACCACTGATTGGCTCAAACTTGGCACAAATGCTAAATAGCGTAAGTTAACAAGTGCGTGAAAATAACGGGTCAAAATGTTTCATTTGCTGGGAGTATTGGGTCCGCCTGGGAAAACCCCATTTCCTGTATTTTTTCATAATTAATTAGCTAACCTTGCGTTGCTCCTGCGACTAACCGAAAGGCCATCTGCATACTCAATCAGCTGGACTGTGTTTTGTATCTAACAGAATTTAAAAACGTTGAATTGTTTTAACTTTTCCATTTCATTTCTTCCCTTACTTCTCCCTTAAAGTGCATATGACAATAATTTTTTTTCTCTTGTTTCTTGTAGTTGGATATCTACAGAAAACGTTTCGAAGCCTTAAAAGTGCTGGAAAAATCTAAAAAGCATTCATTTTGCTTTCAAAATACTTGTGCTTTGCCTTCAAATTTGTCCCGGTCATCGCGCGGCCAAAATCACTCGTGATATCGTAACGTGACGTCACATTGTGTACATCAATGCAACATCAAATATGGCGGAAAAGGGAAAGAAACCGAAAGGAGGAAGACGCTGCGTCGCTGGCGCACCGATTCAAACGAGCTGTGGGAATAATTCACACACAGAGGAAATTACGATGCACCAGTTTCACGTTGATTCGGTAGTCAGAGCACAGTGGGTTCGCTTTGTGCAGAAATATTGAGTTGATTTCGGCAAGCCTGTGAAGAAGTACTCGTCCTTGTGTTCAGCTCACTTCGAGGAAAGTTGTTTTACGCATAATCGGTCAATTCTGGAGGGTATGGTCGCCTCAAATTTTAGAAGAGTGCTCATAAAAGGTTCCTTACCAACCAGAGACACTGTTATCGCCAAGTGCAGAAGAATTTATTGATTTCAGGTTTTGTTGTCGAGGGCTGTGATGAAGGAGAAATTCACACGATACTCCTCTAAGGCTCCCGCCTCACTTACCTCCTAGTTTCCTTACAGTGGGAAGAACGGAGGCACTAGAAGCTTACCAAAAAACGAATTAAACAGAATACCAATACACAACTCTCCCCTATAGGTAACTCGTCATTTTTCATTTCATTTCTTGGCAAATATCGATGTTTCTATGGTTCACCTGTGAATGTTCACTGCTAGTTGATACAGCTGCACATGAAGCATTTGCTGAAATTGACCTTTAAAGCGCTTTATTTTAAACAGTCGCCAACATATTTGAAGTTACAACGATTCCCTATACGTAGAGAGCTGCGCTCATCAGACTGTATTAGACTATAGGTTCCTTTAGAAAAGGGGACGTTTCAAGACACCTCGGCCGTTTTATTTAATAATCTACCAAAGGAACTGGAAACCTGTGATGATTTGCATATTTTTTACGTCGCGTTTTTTGAAATGCTTAAATAACAGTGCGAACGCACGCATTTAGTAATTTTAAATTAGTTTAAGTTTTAAGTGTATAGACACTGGAATGTTTAGCTATTTCAAATTTATGACTGTAAATATAAAATAGGTTTTAGTTGATCCTATAATGTATTTAGTTAGTGACAGATGAAGAGCCACTCTGTGGAAACACAGTCAATAAATTTTACTTTACTCTACTTTTTTACTTTATGAACAGCTTACCTTTTTCGTTTCCACAGGAGAGGAACAAAATGGCTTACTAAAGGCTAATCAAGAAAGTCAGTCCTCCCAATCCAAATCCTCAAGGAAAGCAACTATTTATTGTATTGGTTTCTTCAAACGTAAAGTAATAAGCAAACAGGACAGTATAATTGGTACACCATGTATTCCTTATATCATTCTACACACCAACTGTACATGTTTCATAACTAATTCGTTTGTGAAGAAAACAATACAATAAATATCTGACCTTTAGGTGATGGAATTACCATATTATTGCCAATCATAGCCTTCGTTTTACACATTCTCTTTTATTATTGGGAAAAATTCAAATTATCTAATTATTATATTGTTCTTGAGAATAACATAGTTCCTCTTGGTCTGAAACCTTTGCACGATAAAATGGTTACTTACTGGCCTAGGATAAAAGAGTACATATTTGTAGTGATTTTTAGCTCTGCAAGTATGTTCTGGTTGAAATAAAGAGGCAATTTCGAACCTGTGCATAGTAGCCTCCTTTTAAATAGTGAGCTCTTTAGTTCATATAAGAATCATACCACTTTAAAGGCATTCGTGGTGATTTCACCTAAAGGGGGTTTCACATTTATAGGGCAATCAATGTAAAATGGGGTTGACAGGCCAACACGACTCCCCAGCGCGTGTTTAGAGTGGCCTATT